ATAGATAGGCTCAGATACCAAGAACAATACAACATCACAGATAACTAACTTGACTGATATATCTATTAACAACTAACCTACTTTAATAATAATTTTCATTAACTAAAAAAAGATAACATTCCCTTGCTTTTCTTAGATACATCTCAATAAGATATTATTATTATAATACATGAACAATATATTAATTAAAAAAAAAGAATTTCAATTAAGAAAATTCTAAACTAATATCTCCCCAGACTGGGATCTAACTTCATCGGTTTTACCAATGAACCTTAACGACATAGATACTCAAATAACTACTTGTAATTGTTCGGCGCTTGCGTTCTATGAAAACAGAAGCTCATATTCAAACTTTACAACAATCAAAAATTTAGTTATTACCGACAATTCAAAGAATTACTTTCTTTAAATGTAGTTACATTGGGTTTTTAGATTAACCTTGGGTAAACCTTTGCGTTTTAAGTTCAAAGCTACCATACATTTCCAACGTTAACAAATAAACTTTTTTGCACATAGTAACAAAAAAACACCACTATGTTGTTACTAGCTAAAGTTTTTTAACATCATATCTCGACATTTCTAAAATTTACGGTAAGGTAAATGTTTTTTATTAGGTAATATATGGTAGCTAATTATAATTTGTTCTCTTTCAGCCCTGAAGAAGCCAAATTAATTTCTTTCTTTGGCGAAAACGTTAGGCGAAATAATTGATACACGTTAGAGTTTTCTTGCAGATTTCCCAATATTTAAGAGTTTACTATATAATATATATATATATATATATATATATATATATATATATATATATATAGATATATATATATATATATATATATTATATATATATATATATATATATATATATAAACTCTAACGTGTATCAATTATTTCGCCTAACGTTTTCGCCAAAGAAAAAGAAAATTAATTTGGTTTCTTCAGGGCTGAAAGAAAACAAATTATAATTAGCTACCGTATATGAGTTCGCTAGATGCAAAACTCTGTATTTGCAAAAATTGGAAAAATTGAGTTTTAGCTGACAGTTATTTGTCATATGTTATAGCTATCTGCTGATGTAGAAATTCAGCAGCAATGTAAGGTATTTTACTAAGAAAAAGGCATTAGAAATCTTGAGTCAGAAGCAAAACTCTGTATTTTATCAGCCTATGCCAGTTGCATAACTGTGTAATTGCAATTGGCCAATCGCTTACATTGTTTGAGTATATATATATATATATATATATAAATATATATATATATATATATATATATATATATATTTATATATATATATATATATATATATATATAAATAATATATAAATATATATATATATATATATATATATATATATATATATATATATATATATATATAATAGGTAAAACGATGATATTACGATGGTAAAAACATTAGCCTCAAAATTTTTTTTAGCCAAAAGCAGGCTATTGCCACAGAATAATAAACAATCAGAATGCCCACTCTCAGATGCCGCCTTTAAGTTTTTCAGCACGCGCGCCATGTATTAGAAGGAAACACATAACACAGACATATGTTTTGTGAGGTTATGTAATTGTTTATATTTATGTTTAATTATATTATATTTAACAATGTTAATAAAATTGTATAGTATGTCTATGATTGGCGTAAGTCAATTAAACCGGGTTAATTTTGTCTATGCACATCACATTAACAACACTGGTTCCCTCTAAAACATGGCGGAACGTGTTCGCAAAGGAGATGCGCGTACTTAATTTTCCATGGAGAGTGGGCATTCTGATTGTTTATTGTGCTATTGCCTACAAGTTTTTTTAAACGATTTCCGGAGTGTAAATCAAACGTCAAATCTTATATACTAAAACGTTAAGCCCTTTTCTTGTCCACCACTTTACTCAAAAACCATATTAGATAATTAAAATATTTTGTCGGAATATTATTAGTATTACGTATGAGATTGTTAAGATACACTTTTGGTAAAAAAATTCACTTCCGTTTTGAGATGACCGAAAGTTAAAATTTACTTTAAGTTTTAGACCCCACAATGTATATATGGATCGAAAGGTCTCGTCGAGACGAACCTAAATATGTACTTCCAGTTGCGATCCGACACCGGAAGTGACCCGAAACGCGCATAAAACGTCAAGATAGAGCAAATCTGACACCGGATTCGTGATCAGCATGCAAAAATTAACTGCTAAATTATATCCATGTCGACATTTGATGAACTAAAATTGCATTCCGGTTTTAAGGTCGACTTCCGGTTTCGTTTTTATTAAAAAGTAAAAAGTAAAAGTTTACATAACTCCCGATGCCAAGCAAAAGTTTTCAGAAAATGAAGACATTGTAACAAAAAACATTGTTTTCGACGAAATATTTTAATTATCTAATATTTCGTGATATTTAATACACTTTTTACTTGCATTTTTATTGATGAATGTTATGTATATTCTTGCTTATATTGTTTGTATTGATCTCTTAATTTTTCCTCGCAAAATAAAAATTTCATTTAAAAAACTCGATGTCGAGTTGGTCCGCTAGTGTTAATTAAAAGAGTAATCTTCTTTGTAATCAATTGTGGCTGCATCCCCATTTAAACATAATATTTAATTCCATTCATACAAATTAAATTATTGAGTGGGAAAACCTCGAAGAATTATATAATATGACAAAATGAATAAAGGATTCGTAATTTAGGTAGATATATGATATCGAGAAGTATTTAATGTCGATGCTCTTGATTGGAAAATTTGAAGACAAAAAAACTAAAGTAATATTTACTTCAAGAACTATTTTTTTGCTATTAGTTCGTAAATTTGACAATTTAAAATAATTATATCACGCAGACTTAAATATAGATATATTAAATAAAAGTTACAAACACCCAATTTGAAATTAGGGGAAAGGAGGGCAAGATGACGATAGTAAGCTTAAAAAAATCCTAGAACTGATATTTTCCTTGTATCAAATGCATGCAATTACAAGGTAATTGGCTGATAGTAGTACTTTACATATTAAAATTAGATTACGTAAGGGTTAATATTTCTAATTAAAATTTTAAAATTGATCTACCTATGTCATATTCGTCATCTTACCCTTCGTGGAGGGTAAGATGACTAATTGTGAAGGGTAAGATGACGAGCTGTGCGTATTCTAAGAAAAAAAGTCATATATATATATATATATATATATATATATATATATATATATATATATATATAATATATATAAACAAATAAAATAAATGCATTTATTTTATTAACTAATGCAGCACTTGTAGTAGGTCCTACATTTTTAAAAGTACCAATCACACGTCCATTGTTTTACCTTTGCTTCTTGACTATCCATTCCAGTGCATTCAGCGTGAGCCCATTCCTTATACCTGCTGCAGCAATACCATAGCTCATCTTTTCCTCTTTCATTGCAGATTATGCAATCTCTTTCTTCCTCTGAATGGTTATCAGTGTCAGCATATTCCATATCTACTGACGAGTTAGACGAGTCGTCAAATTTTATTTTCCTCTTAGTCTTTTTCCTTTGCCTTTATCGAGAGTGAATTTCCTATTTTTTGCTGAAAATTAAAGTCTGCTTCTCTTTCTTTTTCAATTTTCTTCTGTTCTGTTATATCGTTTTGTCTCTCTTTTGCTAATTTTACAGCTTCCTTTTCTTCTAAAATCTTTACTATTGGTGTACTGGAAATAACGAGATATGGTAATTTCTGTCTGGGTCGTTTTGCTCTCACTTCAGCAACAAGTAATTTAGGCAGACCATTATTCAATATATGATTTGATACATGAGGGGGTGTCCGACCAGCTATTCCTGATGTAGATGGAACAGGCATATCTGGAATAGAAATATCTAAAATTTCGTCAGATATTTTAACAGATTCTTGAGGTACTGTTCTTTTAAAACAGATATCGGTGACATTCCTTAATATCTGGCATTTCTCTTCGACCTTTACATTTTCCAAAGCAGAGGTAGTTGCCAAACTATTGAAAAAGATGCCTCAAAATCAAGTATATCAAACACGTGGCTATCAACAGGATATATGCCAGTGGCTCTAAAACCACTAAGAGTATTTGAAACAGTTGCTGCTTTTAAGTACGCTTTCCCAAATAGGGTTGCAATGTCATACAATGTTATAAGACGACCCGGATTACTGATCAAAAAAATCTTCGCAAGCTCGTGAGTATGCTGCAAAAGGATTATGCAAAGTATTTACCAACCATTTTCTTTTGTAGTGTTAAATCTATCAGCAACACCACAATGAACGGCAAAGTCAAAAGCAATTTTTCTAAACTGATCCGTGGTTAATCCAAATGCCCGTTTATCTATATCTATCAGACCTGGTAGGTTCTGGAATATATGCTTTTGAGGCTGCATTGACACTTCACTGATGAGCAGTTATTTAAGCCATTGCTCATTTTATATTTTCTTTGCCAAGATTGTCTGTCTGTCTTTCTTTTGTATATTTTGTATATTTTGCCCATATTTAAATCTGAAATTGAAAAATAGTTATGACTTACTGTTTAATTTTAGTTAATTCGGGTAAGATGACGAATAACACGTCATCTTACCCACAAGTGTCATCTTTCTTTCTAAAAATCGTAAAGTCAAATTTATTATTCATAACAAATATTTTCTGTAAGTAATTTATACGTAAAAGATATTAGTTTCGAACAAAAAAAATACAACAGTTATCCAATACTCACCAAAAATCTTTAAAACCTTATTTTCTAAAACAATAATATTGTTAGCACTAACACAATATCAGTACCAAAACTTGTATCATACTAAACTCTGGCCGCTAACGTATTTGTAGTCAAAGGCGAGAAACCTTGGAACATCTGTTCGGTCCTGACTAAAGACAGTGTTGCAAGAGTTGTACGTTGGAAAAATATCGGGAATTCGTCATCTTACCCCACTTTACCCTATCACAGTTTTTATTTATTATTACCACTTCTATTTATTTTGTAGTTTGTTACTCTAAAACTATATTTTTTAGTGAAAGAAAGCTGCCTGATTCTTCTACAGACTATGCCTGACACGATAGATATCGACACACTGAAGATTCAATTACTTAATCATTTTCCAGATATTGTAAATATCCATGATTTTCATATATGGCAACTTACTGCCAATAAAGTAATATCTACTGTACATATTATCTTCCAAAATCCCTAAGGTTTGTAAATTTACTATTATTATTATGTATATTATATAAATATATAAGAAAAAGGTTAATGTGAGTTAATAGTAAAATAAAGGTAGAAGGAAACTCAACAACTCGCAACAAAGGAAAAAATTATAACAAAATGTGTGTATTAGGATGGAAGACAACCGTTTATACGTATTTTTGAATATACGTCGTCTTCAGTACGGTGCAGCCAAGTTAGAAAAAGAGTAGATTATCTTACCATTATTGCCATTAATTTGTGGCAATATCGTTAGAAGATTCTGAGGTTTCCATGGCAACTACTCTATTCTACTCTACTCCATCTTATTTTCAATCTATTTCAGTTTCATCGTCATCATCTCTGCAATGAGCATGAGCCCAACTTTTGCAGAGTTGGCATTTCACACATTCCTCACAATGCTTGTGATTGAAGTATGGCTGGAAACAATATAAACTAAAGCATCATCATCATCCAACGAGCTCATTTATGTCTCCTTATTTTTCTTTAACAATGGTTTTTTGACCTTATTGGCATTCTTTTTTCTTTCTTTCGCTGTCTCTTTTTCAAGTGCGATCTTCTCTGGTATTTCGTTAATCTGTTTCTGTTTTCTTCTTCTATTTGTGGTATTATTCCTAGTAGTCATAGAAGCTTTGAAAATGAGCGAATACTTTCCAATAGTTCCTTAGAAATATTTAACTTGTCGGTTTCTCTAGATGTTGTTGCAACCATCTCGAACGCTGTTCCGTTCTAGACAGTTCCATCAGATTTAAATTAAAATGGTTCTTTAGAGATGGATGGCAGTAATGGCACATATGGCCTGTCACTAGGTAAATATGGTGTAGACTCGTGCTCTTCGAATATATCCATATTAAAAGGGAATAGTCCAGTCACTTTAAAACCACTTAGTATAGTGGCTGGAGAAGTAGCTTTAGGTAGTGCTTCAGCGACAAGTCCAGGTAAGTCATAAATGGTCATAGTTTGACCGGGATTATTCTTCATCCAAGCATCCATACAATTATTCAGATAATATTTTAGTGGTCCGTAGACACTGCGGTCTAGGGCTGTAATTTGTGCGACGTGTGTGGAGGGAAAGACAAAAGAACAATGTCAATAATTTGAAGACCTAGGTGCGATTTATGGTTGTCCTGTACAAGTTGTACCTTATTTTTAGGGGATGGCTTAGTATACCTTGCAAAATGGTTTATGAAAATTAAAAAATGTCCATCCAACCTGAACCATTAGCTTCTCTGATTGAACCTACTAGAGCTCGAATCATAAAGTATGGTTTGAACCGCTTTTTAAATAGGAACATTGGGGGGAACCGTATTTCCTATTGCGTTTATAGCCAGGCAAAGATTTACTAGAGTACCTTTTCTCCGCAGAGGTAACGGCTCCTAATTGTTTTGTCCCCCTTTTGGCACAATTTTGCTCGGCTTTTGAACAGTTGTAACCCTTCTCTCATCTAAATTGTATATACCTATTCGCAGGCTTAAATCTGTTCCTCTCCATCGCTTGGCTGAATTGTCAAAAAATTTATCAATATTTACCCTGGCAAAATTTACAATCCTTGCGTGACTTGTCGCTTCTGGTACTCTTATTGATAAGGTAATGTTCCTCTTCATGAAATTAGAAAACCAATCCCCTGATGCCATTTTCGTAAAGTGCCACTATTCTGGAACCTTCAAGTTTTTCTTAGGCAAAGAATGAACGTCAGTTGGTGTAAGCCCATAATACAGGTCCGCCCGAATTTCGTATATATTTTGCATAATCTTAATTCATCTTCCACTGGCAATATGTTGTTTTGTGAATTGTAGCCAACGTTAGGATTCTTAATGCCGCTTTTAATTTTTTTAATGTATCTGTGCAGGTTTATATGACAAATTTTAAATTGCCTATCGGAAATATTTTATTCTAGAACCAATTTAATTTCCTGTTCAAATAGAGTTTTCGAAGGACTTCTCTCTCCGGTTTTCTTATTCTGAAACATGACATATATCTGCAAACCAAAATATGAAATTAAGCTAATTCAATTTGGTTATCATTTTGCATGTTGGCAATTGCAACAATCATTTCCCATCAGGGTGTTATAAAGGTTCCCGTTGTTAATTTTGTTGCTACAAGACAGCATTTAATTTTGTCCTTTGTAACTTTTACATTGAATAGTACAACCGTCGTGGAACGTACAGCGATATTTTCAAAGTACTTGTAGGACATTTGCTTTCCTTTTTTACAAAATAATTATAGTAATCAGGTATTGTACACCTGTCTAAAATTTGCAAAAACTTACGCGCTGAATTTACAACACTACGCGTTCGCAATTGTATAATGTTACAAGTGACACCATCAAATCTTGACCCAAATAGGCATTTGGTTTTTGGGTTTTTGGCTATTCTATTCTACTCCATCTTATTTTCAATCTATTTCAGTTTCTGTTCAAAAGAGGAAATCTGTTCAATGTTTTTTATTCTTTCTTCAAATGAAGAAATATCAGCAGCAACTTGCGAAGATATTTATCGTCGAAGTCTGAAGTGACCTTAAAGATTTTCAAACAGATGTTAGCACAAACTTTGCTTTTCAGAGACACAAAGTATGTATCTCTGTTGTCCTCGAAGATGTAAGTTTCTGGGTCAAAAATCTCTTCTTTCAAGGCGTCGTCCTTTAGTATTTGGATAATTCACCCTTTTTCCCAACAGAACTTAGTTCTTTTTCTTTAGTTCCAATTGTATTTTAAATCACCCACTTTCCTAGAAGAAATTTAAAGCGTCTATTCAACCTTTAGAGGAATATTTCTGCATTAGACTTGTAATTCCTTATTATTAAAGTCTAATTAAAACTTCAAACCGTTAAACTTAATTGACTGTTTTAATAATTTGCTTATATTATTAATATCTTTTATGTTATAGGTTTATAAACAACTTATAGAAGAAGTAAAAGAATTCTTTAACGATTACGGCATAACTCAAGTAACAATACAACCCGAATTCTTTAAAAAGAATGCCAGTATGGATAGTTTGAATTCGAAATATGCTCCCAACTGTTTAGTAGCATGTCTTGAAGATGGATGCAAAGAAAATCACTGTTGTCCAAATTACAAAGTAAGTGAGAATATTTGTTGATATCTACTTCTGAAGTAATATATATTAACGAAGGAAACAAATTATCAGTTTCATACATTACTTTATAAAATTGAAAAATTCTAACAATGAGATTGTGAGTAAATGCATTCAAATATATTGCCTCATTTCGCATTTGTAACAATTACAAAATCAAATAGTACATCGCATTAGCAAGCTTTTTAACAGATGGTAGAAACCTAGTTATACTTCTAAAAATAATAAAATGCAAATCTGGTTTACAATGAGAAGAAAACAAGGAAGAACACTTTTTTCTTCAGCTAATATCTGTTGTTCTTCTGGTCTGCCATTAAGGGGACAGTCTCATGGCGATTAAAAAAAAAAGACGCATTTTAAAATTAAAGCAGAAAAAAAACTATAATATTTATTAACATAATTCGTTTTGGAGATGATTAAGTAAGTCTTGAAGTACATAATAAAAATTTTTAATAGCGATTTTAACTTCATTGGTGTCCTGTAGATGGCGTGTTAGTAAAAAGTGCGTTATTGGTGGTAAGATACTTTGTGGGTCACCTGTAACAGATATTCAAAAAATTCAAAATGGGTTGTATTCGTGAGACTCAAAACTAGATGATAAACCTTTAAAATATGCAAATTGTATTATTTTGAAGAGTTTATAACGAATTTTTTTCAAAAAAGTCGAAAAATTGATTTTTTTGAAAGTTCCGCATGAGACTGTCCCCTTAATAGTTCTATGTATGTCCATATGTATGTCTAAATTTCTTCTTTGTTTATCATATTTTCCCTTGTCGAGTCAACAATTGTATGAGGAGTCTTCTTGTGATAGATGCCAGCTATTTCTCTGCTTTTTTGAACATACTAAATGTGTCATGTATTGAATAACTGCCATACAGACCAACCTCATGCAGGCTAAATCTTAGGTAAGCCTGTCATGCCATAGCAGATATAATCGTCTTGCCACATCTGCTACGAAAGTTGGCAATTACCATATCAATTTTAACTCCTAAGGCAGACACTCGGAACAGTTGTATAGAACTGCAAGTTCCATTGAACCATTGAGTTTTATATAATATATATATATATATATATATATATATATATATATATATATTCAGGGATTCTACAGTATTCACTGCCTTCCCTTGCTTAACTGTTTCCATCTCTCTCTGTTGACCCCATTGTCTATCGTTTATGCCTCTCTTACTCAAGGCATCGTCTACTTCGTTGATCCAGGATCCTCGGGGTCGTCCACTTTTCCTCCTTCCTATGGAGCCCCATTCGGTTATTCTCTTTATCCATCTGCTGTCGCTAGTTCTTCTTACATGTCCATACCACTTTAGTCTTTTTTGTTCTATATAATGTAGAGTATGTCTGTTTCTATTGATGTTCTTTGCTTCATTGTTGAAAGACAATGAATTTTAAATATGAAGACAAAATCTGAGTTTTTGTCTTCATATTTAGGTATCTATCCCTCCATACTGACTTAATTTGTCGGATTGCTGTTATTGTTTGTCCTAATCTTTGCTTAATTTATTTCTCTGTTGTTGCCTTTTTTGTGATTATAAACTTCAAGTATTTTAATTTATTCTTTCCTTTGATTGTTACGTTGTCATCACTCTGTTGATCTTCTATGTCTTTTTCACTTACTATGTAGATAGTTACTCTGTTTTCGCGAGGTTAACGTCTAAGCCAGCCCTAATATATTCTTCTTGTAGTTTCTTCATCATGTAACTAAGGTCTTCTTGTTCTTGTGCAATCACTATTTGATCATCTACAAAGCTTAACGTATATAGGTATTCGTTTCGTACTGGTACTCACATGTCTTCCCATGCCATGAGGTTTTTAACGTAGATACATTTCGTATGACTATGCTGAGTTTGTGTTGAATATTTCCTTTTTAATCAACGATACCAATTTGTATCATATCCATGTGTAAAATGTCTTACACGCGTGGTTTTCTGGTTTTATTTGCCAATGTTATTTTTTTATCACTGTATTAGGAGATTTTTAAGAGTCTTCAATATGCCTACCTCGCAAATGCCCGCAATATGGTTATGCATTGTTTGTGGACCATTCACGTTTCTACACCATACAACAAGTTAGAGGAATATACTATTTCAGCATCCGTAATTTCAGTTCCAAATGTGGGTTTCATCTGCGTAGTTTTTAAATGCAATTGGTGCTTTCTTTTGTGGACGGCGGTAGCTCAGCGGCAAGATACTGACATTCTAAGCGCACACAAGTTTGATTCTCCGCACCAACAACGAGATTTTCATTTCTAGCAATGATACGAGCCATTTACCGTGCTTCGGAGGGCACGCAAAGCCGTTGGTCCACCTAAGTTAGTGTGCATAGACACTAGCTACTTGAAACGTGGTTAAAGATGCAATTGGCGGCGAAACCTATCGAAAAGTATTTCTCTGGCAAAAATGAAATACGATATTATCATTATTATTTGATATCTGGTGTATATTTTGAAAGCGGAACAAATGAGTCAGCGGGAATTATGCTTGGTTGTTGTTCATTTACATTTTTTGAATTTCTGCTTTTTCTGTATCTCTGTATGTAGGTATTTACTGGTACGTACATATTCTCATCAGCGTTTGTTGAAAGTTATAGTGATTTTTGGAAATTAAACTTTCCGTCATTCAGCTGACTGATGCCATACTCAAGAGCCAGATTCAGTAGTGTCGAAGTCAGCATATCGCCTTGTTTTCATTATTTAAAACCTTTTAATAAGTGTATTCTGTATGCGGACCATTCCTTTGTGGCTTTTTTTCAGTCAAATATATTTTTAGGGGATTTTGATGTTTTATAGGATGTTTTATAAATGGATTTTCTTTATTCAATTAAATCACAATTTTAACACATATATATTTTTATTTTAGGACAAGAGTATCACGAAGTCACACTCAAAAGAAGTAATACCGGGAAGCACTACACCTGACCTAAAATCCGTCCGGATTTTAAACGACGAGCTGGCTCACCTTCATGACGGCAGTGCCAGTAGTTTGAATTCAAATCTTCCATCTGAAAACATACAATTGACTCCAGTCCATAATTGTGTTTCCAGTGTAACCTCAACACCACAACTTCAGAAACAACAAGAAACTACAACCTCCTCCTCCGATTCGCTTAGCGCATTAAATAACGAATCACCGTCAGAAAGTGAGAATAAAGTGGCGATTACAACGAACATACCTTTAGAAATAGCAAATGAAGACACTGGTGATAATTTAACCAAAGATAATAATAGTAAAATAATTTGTAATCACGTAAACTCTAGAGAAGAACAAACAGGAGCAAATAGCGAAATAAAGGAAGTAATAAATGATATTAACACAGTTGACTAAAATTATAGTAATATTAAATGTAAAATGTTAAATGTATATATTTATGTTTTTATATCATAAGTTGCAAAGTTTTAAGAATAGTAAGAGGTGAATACCAAGTTCCTGGGTTAAATATGCTGAAGATATTTTAAGACAAAACTGGAAAATTATAATAAAAAAATGCAATAAGCAAAATGTAATTAGAATTTAATAATATTATATTACATAACAAAAGTAGAAAATAAAATAATTTGTAGGTAAGTCAAATGAAAATTCAAACTTAGTAAAAAAAATCAATTTATTATTTAACGTACATATCTCTCATATCTTTCAGCAGTCGGCTCAAAATCTCAGTGGACCGACGAGATTACTTTGTTGTGTCGTTGTGACTATACTGTTTGAGTATCACTTTGTTGTATAGTTCAGTAGATACGCGATTCGAGCTACACGCTAGTGAGACAGTTTTCAAATAAACTCCAAAGTGAATCTTTTGAACTAGAATTCGCTAGTAAATCGAATTGGCCGACGTATGAGTTGTATGATGATAGTGTTGCTTTCTGCACATGCGATGGCCTCTATTATAATACCAAAGAGTAGCATCAGAAAGGAAGTCTATGCTATCCGTTCTTACCTTTGACTAGATTCTGTTTATTACGAAGTACAAAAGGAATAAGCAAGTGGACTATATTTGAAATAAAAAAAAGAATATCACATATGTACACATTTAATTTTTATCTTATCAATTTATACAAAATAAAAATAGGCGACATGACTCGTACTACCAATTAACCAACGGAATATTCTATGGTAAATACGTTGATACCGAAATTTAAAATCTTCAGTGACAAATAAGCATAATCAAAATAAATCACAAAGGAATCATGACCGTCACAGGTTGTGAATAAATTATTCTTGGATCAAGTACCCATAATAAAGGGAATACATAGGTTTTGGTCAAAAGCGTTAACAAGGACATTAATAACACTGAAAATTAAGAATGCGCTTAATAGTTGAGGAGCAACTCAGCAAAAATAGTTTTTGAGTTATCAACAGAAAACTAATTGAATTAAACCTAGTTAAAAGTAAATATTTTATTAATTGATGGATTCGACCGTTACTTGATGGAAATTAATTTTATGTAACAATAAAACACTGAAAACTTTGTTTTCAAACTTCCACAAAATTTTATTTTAAATCTTATCACTACAGCTGTTTCGGCTGATTGCCTTTCTCAAGTGATCTATTTTTGGCTTGGGTTTACAAATTTATAGTCTCTAATGAAATAGGTTGAGGAGAGGAAAACTGTTTGTCTCAAGTTGGTCATTCAGAATTATATCTGTGTTTTTTAATTTGTTGATTTCCAACACATTTCCTTTGTTAGAATCTATGGAAATCAACAAATTAAAAAAACACAGATTATAATTCTGAATGACCAAATTGAGACAAACAGTTCTCCGCTCCTTAACCTATTTCATTAGAGACTATAAATTTGTAAACCCAAGCCAAAATTAAATCACTAGAGAAAGTTGGATTTGTTTCATTTTGTTAAATAAGTAAATACCTAAATGTCGAAAATGAAACACCAGTATACAAAAATACTATTATTTATTTATAAAAACAAAGCTTCTCAAATATGTAGGCTTGTATCATCTTCTAGACAATTACATTCCTTTTCCATTTCGAACCTAAAGTGTTCAAAGCAAGTAATGATTATTGGTGCAGGATGGTTTTTGTTCAATATAATGTTTTTATCTGGTATTCCATCAATGTTTTTTTTTAAATATGATTGGAATTGTTTAATATCATACAGAATCCAATCAAATGAAAGGCTTTTTACAGCTCCAAAAAGGGGAATAAATTTCTTCATAGTCTTTCTTTGTCTTTAAATAAGCACATTTTCTTAATATTCTTTTAATGCGCCCAAATACTCTATCAGCTTGTAAGAAACTGTGACCTCTAACAGGGAATGTAAGATGAATTTCAGTTAAGTTTTGAAGCGATTTTTTCTTCAGCCAATAGTAGAGGTCAAGGATAACATGGGCGCTTTTATTTTGCCCTCTACATCCGTCACAAAATAAACGAACTTTTTGTTTATTTTTAAGATGTAATGATGATAAAGTCAAGCTGATGATTCTTTCATCGATCCTCGTTCAGCCATATCTTCTATGTGTAAAATACGGGACTTTTAGTGTGTATATCGATACAGTATAAAACGTTAAAACTGACTTGTTAAGCATAAAAAACATTATTAATACATATTCGTGGAAGGGGTCGCACTTCTTGCATATCAAAATAAAAGTAATTGAATCCGGTGGCACTTCTCTTGCTAACTCATAAAAAGCCTTGCCTCTTTTATTATGAATTCTGTACTGTAACATCAAGTAGCTTTTTTTCCTGTCATCATTCGTTATTTTAATTTTGTGCTTGGTTATTATCTGTACATTATGAGTTATATAGTTTATGTAATTTTGATATATTTAGGTTGGCAGATAAATAGATCTTTGATTTTGATATGTTATAGTGACTTTCGCAGCCTTTTAGGTTTCCAATAAATTCAATAATAGTCTTCTTTATCTTTACTGTTTTATGAGAAACCCTATCTCACCCTCTTCGTTGTTTTAGTGCAGCAGTATTGTGTTGCTTTTTACAAACTGTATTTATTCTTTGCTACCTGATTATTAGAGCTGTTGACAAGAGTGGATTTGGTAGCCTTGATGGGTGTTACATGATAAAAGTATTAAATGAACGAGAGCGAGGATTTGACTTGATACCTCGTTTCTTTCTACGGGACCAACAGTTTATCATATAAGGTAGTTTTGTATCTTGCTCTGATTTATCAGTCGTAGCATAAAAAGATTGCCTTGATCTTCTTATGTCAGATAATTTAATATTAGTGCATTTAATACTGTTACCTGAATGATTATATGGCCTCTCAAACTTCTTTAGTAACGGATCTTCATCTTAATACCTACAAAAATAATTTACCTTTTTTAATCGATCTTTTGGACACTTCGCCATTCTCTTTTGACTTTCTTTGTTATCCCCTTTTACACAAATACTAGATATAACGTATTCCATTTTAGTAAATTAACATGTAATGTATGAGCAACTATACAAACAACTCACTCTAAAGTATCTAAATAAGCAAATACATTCTTACGCATAACAAAATCAACAGGACTGTGATTGTCATATTTTGGTAATTTCCGCAAACTGAACAAAACTTTTACAGAAATATTTTTCCAAGCATTTATTGCAGTTTGGGTAAATGTGATAGATTTATGACAGTTTGTTTGATCTTAAAATGGGAATTAATGCATATTTGTTTGGTTTTAAATTGTTCATATAGCAATATATATTGGATATAAAGCACATTGCCTGAAATGAATAATTCACAATGTAGATTAAACTAAACCAAGTAGTGTAGTATTTACTTAAAAAATATCTAAAACTGGATTTATTGCTTTTTACTCAGTTGCTCCTCAGTTGATTGTTATATAAACACGGCATAAAATATTGTTCTTAAGCATAAATCATTTAAAGGTATAAAACAATAATATAAGCAATATTTAATTAATATATCACAAAAGTGAGAAATATCTGAAGACATATAATAAAGTAAATTATTAATAAAAGCTCAATGAATAATGAACTGAATAAACTTTGTTAATTGTGGCAAATCAAAATAGAATCAGTGATACATCTTTGAATAAAAATGAAATCAGTAAAATGATAAAATAAAACGATAAAATTAATACTTGGGAGACGAATGCAAAGTTTCTCAAAAATTAGATGCATTAGATGACAAACAATTGTAAACTTACAACGAAACAGCAACAATGTAATGAATATAACTGTGTACTTTACCACGTTAAATGGCTTTTGTCCACAAGGAACTACGAACACCCTACTTGGGAGATCTTCAGGAACAAGTTGATGATTATATTTCCTTGTCGACTTATCTCGTAAAAGGGGGTGAAATGTCGCGTAAGTCTTGCAGTTGGTGGTAATTTCTTCTTCTTTGATTTGTACCTCCAGCATTTAGATAGGATTGGTTGCGGGTACAACTTAGATATAATTTCTATATCTCCATTTAATATTTAATTTAATAGTTACAATAAAAGTTGGGAACTTGCAAGAGGGAGATCGGGTTTCATCACTTGGATGACGCTGATACCTGTTAAAAGGAGCAATACACTAGATAAACTAGACCATACATATACGTCTTCCAATATTGTTTATTTGAAGTCCTTAATTTTTTATTACTTTAATTACGATTATCAAGAATTAAGATCAGTACGCTGCATTATTTATTTTATAAAAAATAGTTATTTTCATACTACTACGTTAATCCATTTATTTTTTTTTTTGTAATATTCTATGAATATTTGAGTTCCGCATATAAAGATGTTTGTAAATATTTAATTCATAACTATTATATGAAAATTGTTCTGTAAATTCTTAGTAAAAATAAAATCACAATATTTAAAAAAATGTTTCCCAGTTATTTATTGTATGAAATGTCACTTATTTTAATGGCAATTTCTTGAAAACTCAATAAAAAAACTTCGATATATAATTCTACAGGTCCCGATTGATCCAAAAAGGGAATTGCTGCTGGCTTATTGTAATTACAAATTCATTAATTCATTCCATAGAACTTTTTGACACAAACGTACATCCACCTGTTTGTCTAATTTTATTCTTCAATCAAAATTGTATAAGTACTAAAAATTTTCAGAACAACTTTCTTTTAATATTTAATTGTATTACCCAATCTATAATAGTACTATTTGTTGTATGTTTTAAATAACTATAGTACTAAGATCATTCAAACAAGAATTTACGAAGCAGTCTGTTAAAGAAATACTTACTTTTATTAAGAAGCGTTTTCCAGACAACATCTTCCGAATCAATTAAATTTTGTTTATTTGCCCTGTTTTTTCTTCTCTTTTTCAATAAGGCTGTGCTAACGTTCATATCATTTATGTTTTTGTAGATTTTAACTGTGATTTTTATATTAAAAAATAAAATAAATTATGTATTTAACATATAAAAAGATTATTGTAAATATAATTTTAACTATCTGAGTTTTACTTTTCTCTTATAAGAATAGGAAGATTAAGATGGGCAGGACATCTAGCAAGATCACAGCAGAACAACCCTCCTATAAGAATCCTTATGTCACAACCCGTGGGAAGCAGAAAAAGGGTAGGCCAAAACTCAGATGGAAGGATGGTGTAGATGAGGATGGTAGAATGATAGGCGCAGCAAACTGGCAACGGTTGGCAATGGATAGGACTGCCTGGCGTAATAGACTTGGGAAGGTCGAGGCTCTTTCATAGGGCTGTAGCACCATTGATGATGATGATGATGATGAGTTTTACTTTAATGCAAGCAAACACATAATTTTCCATCGTAATAAAATGATACAGATAGGAACAAGTAAAATTTTATATTACAGTATATTTTAGAAGACAAATAGTATATTTTAGGTGATCAATAGGAAAAATCGCAAAGTTAGTGCAATCGAACCATGCCCGAAGGCCAACCGAGAATTCGTAAAAATAGTTAAGATGACATGT